GCCAATCTAGCAGTTCAAAAGCATGTAGCTGGACATTCAAACTGTAAATTCAAGTAGATGAATTGTGCTGCACATATAAGCATGCAGGAAGGAAAGTATTCCATGCTTCGCCATACGCTCTGTGCTGCTGTGTGATATCATCTGGCTACATGACCATGGAAATGTCTCCAGACAATGCTGGCTTTTTGGCTTAAGAAACGGAAATGAGCACTGCCGTCTAAAGTCAATCACAACTAGAGGAGTAAAACCCACAGGGACACCATTTTTACCACTGCACACATTGCGTCGCTAGCTTCCCTGACCCTTCCCTTGAAATGTGCCCATGAGAACTGATTCATAAAAGGAACCTATACTTCCACAATTAAGTTGTTAGAAATCCTAAATTCCTGGTTTCCCATTGGTTTATCATCAGATATCAAGCAATAGTGAAACTTTTTAAAAAGCTTTGATTTGCAACTGGAAGAAATTTACAGTCAGAAAACAGATAATCAGAGCTGGAAGGGATCTTGTAGGTCATCTAGTCCAACCCCCCACCCATGCAGGAGACCCTACACCATTTTTGACAAATGGCAGTCCAATCTCTTCTTGAAAGTCTCAAGTTCTCTTAACGAATATGAAGATTATTGCACTTACTGGAGGACATGTTCTTCACTTCAGAAGGCACAATGAAGCTGATTTGTTACTGAACCAGACAAATCCCCTGTGATTCAAATGATTCTACCATTTTCCATCCATGTTCTATCCAAGGTTGTTTGGACTACAAATGATAAAACTACTGATCCTTTGCAAATAATCACATAGTAATTTTATCTGTATCCCACATTTTATCTGATGACTCAAGGTGGGAGCTCATGCAGTTTTTTTATCCCCATCATAATCCTGATAGTTGCAGAGAGAGAATGCAAATCTGAATCCACGATCCAACTCAACACCTTATAAACTGCATTATTTAGAAATGTTTTGAGCTCATCTCTAATTTTAAAAATGAAAATAGTAATAAGGAAAGCACTCTAAAATCAAGGTTCATAAGTGCTTTCAATATGTGAAAAAATTGTGCATGCACACCCAGAGGTTCACATATTTCCCTACCACTTTGTTTCTTTTAATATCTATTTTTATTAAGAAACTATATGGCTTATTATGTGAATGCCAGCTACACTTCCAGAAATGTCAGCCTGTTTCCAGTTTGGGAATACACGTCTCCATTTCCAACAGCATCTTCATGGAGGGGAGGGGAAAATGTTTTCCCTGCCCACATAGGCAGGTTATCCCAGCACTTCCCTTCTAGATAGAAAAAAAAAGCTTTGTTCTTATAACAAAATAAAGAGAAAGGGTAGATTCCAAAGGATGCATAATTGGTCCTCTATCAAGGCACTGGAGGGAATGCAGGAATTTGAAAAGTGTACAGCATGTTCTGTCACATGTTGATTTCCACAAAGGGCCTGTTTTTGAAACTGTCAGAGAACCTCTTCTAGCATTGTGGAAAACAGAGAAAACCTGTCAATAGTGTTTTCACATGGATATTTCATTCTCTGGGATTTCTGAGTAACAAGATTTGAGGAAGTGCCTGATGTCTTCCATTCAGATGGGCACTGTTTTGTTTTAACTCCCACCACAAGAGTCATCATTCTAGTATGCTGACAGGTCTTTGGGAATATGTGAAAACGAAGTCCCAAGGCACTTGTGGCATATAACATTACATAGAGAGTGATGGACCGCTGACATTTCCTAGAAATGTTGAGCTGAACCTAAATAAGAGATAACACTGTAATTCTACTGAATTATTTTTAAAAAGATGTAATACATTTTGTCCTTGCTTTTGAACACCCTCTGGCTATGGCAAGTTTAGTTAAAGGGCTGGAATATCCCGGGAGACAAAAAGGGTAATTGAATGAAAAGGAGAATTTGAAGTTCTCTACATTTTGTAGAAATGGATAAATATTTTAATTAGAAATATCACTATACATGTATTCTATGTGATGCAGTCATTTAAATCTATGAATAATTTAAGGGAATTGGATGAACCAAACTTCAGAATGTGCTTTATTTATTAGGAATCTTCAGAAAATCTGAACTATTTTGAATCTCATTTCTAGCTACCTTGCTTCCTTTTTATCTGTAGTAGACAACATCACTCATTCTTTTGGTCCATTCTTATTATTTTTCTTTTAACTTCTGATTGATCTATTTTGTTTCATCTACTTGCAATTGTATCTCTGGACTGGAACAGCTCTGTAATTTATCTTTTCCAACACTGATTATTTGCAGTTTAATATTTAGAGTTTATATTTTAAGTTTGTTTTTCCTCTGTGAAATTGGTTTAACTCTCAAAAAGATAGCTGTGAATTCTACAGTCATGAAGAGATACTACCACTTAATGGTATTATGTGATATTATCACTTAGCGATAATAAGTGATATTATCACTACAAGAAGTAATAGAAGGAGTTGAAGTTTCCAGAACTTTGGGCAAGAATGACATCATATTGGAATTCAATATGATGCAAACACAAGCAACAGAACATAATTCAACCAGTGTCTTAAACTTGAAAAGAGCTCATTTTAACAAATTCAGAGAGAGACTAAGGAAGATTTAATAGAGGGAAATCCTAAAAGAGAAAACAACTCAAGAAGTGTGGGAAACATTGAAAAATATTATTATAAGAGCTTAGTCCAGCACAATACAACTGGGAAGAAAAGCAAGAAATCCAAGAAACCAGCATGGTTGCACAAATATCTCTCTGATAAACTAAAAGATGAAAAGAACAAGAACAAAAGATGGAAAGAAGATAGCTAAGGCAGTATATCAGCAGATAGCACGAATCTGCAAAGTCAGGAAAGAAAAGGCTTAGAATGAACAAAGATTTGCAACAAAAGTCAAAGATAATTTTAAAAAAAAGTTTCTTTCAACATATAAGTAACAATAAAAAGTCAAGGAAATAGTAGGTTCACTAAAGAGAAAAAATGGCAGCAGAGAGGAAGCAGAACTGCTTAACTCATTCTTTGCATCAGTCTTCACACAAAAAAACCCAAAGAAATTATAGCCCAACCTACCAAAAACGTAACCATAAAAAGACAGTTTAAACCATAAGAAATTAAAATAAACAAGAAAATGGTTGGCAGATGTTATCTCAGAACCATTGTACCATGTATTTCAAAAATCCTGGAACACCACCTAAGGACCGAAAAGAGCTAAAGTGGTTCCCATGTTTAAAAAAAAAGGGGGGCGGGGGGAACCCTGATAAAGGAAACTACAGATCAATCAGCCAAATATCAATACTTGGAAAGATACTGGAAAAGATAACAAAAAATCAGATCTCCAAACATTTAGCAGATAAAATTATAACAAAAGCCAACACAACAGGTTAAAAACAGATCATGCCAAGCCAGTTTCATTCTTTGACAAAGTGACTAAGTTCGTATAACAGAGAAATGCTGTGGACATAGTATACTTAGACTTCAACAAGGCATTCAACAGAGTAGACTACAACCTATTTTGGGGTAAGCTAGAAAAATGTGGGATAGACAGCATTACCACCAGATGGATTTATAACTGGTTAACAAACCCAACTCAAGAGGAAGTCCTTAATGGTATTACATCTATATAGAGGGAATCAGAAGGTTCTTAGATCCAGTACTCTTTAATATCTTCATAAATGACTGAGATAAAACTAAGCTGGCAGGAATAGCCAACACCCCAAAAGACAAGCTCAGAATCCAAAAAGATCTTGACACCCTTGAATAACGGGCTCTATCCAATAAAATGTGAAGGAAAGCATGGTTTTACACTGAGGCAGGAAAAACCAAAGGTACAAGTACAGATTAGGCGAAACCTGGCTCAGTTTAGTGGGATTTGGGATAGTTAGTAAGGATTTGTGAGCTGTCCCCTTAAAGGAATGCATCATGGTAAATGTACTTAAGGTATCCTGAGAAATGTAGTCCATGTCATGTGGCCACATCTGTAACCCTGATTGGTCACTGAATTGACCCTTGGTGGGTTGGGGGAGGTTTCTTCACTCTTGCCCGAGATCACCATACCATGCGGCTGCTTCAATCATCATCGTGGGGTTGAGACTTTATTATCTTCCTACACCACAATTCAGATATGCAAAGGATTGGACATTAAGAAGAACCTTGTCATAAATGTGAGTTGAGAGGATGCCTGATGAACCAATAAAAAAGACTGCATGGATGCTTTGTGGAGTTGATTTATCTGCTTTTATACAGAATTTGTACAGGACAAGCAGAATATTGGTATCCTATTGGACGATTGCTTAAATATGAGCCAGTAATGTGTGGCAAGAGCAAAAAAAAAACCTAGTACAATCATTGGTTGTATAATCAGAGGCACAGAATCAAAATCACATGAAATACTAGTATCATTTTATAAAGAATTAGTAAGGCCACATTTGGAATGCTGCATCCAGTTTTGATTACAAAATGTTGAGACTTTGGGAAAAATTCAAAGAGCAACTAAGATGATTAAATGCCTGGAGAGTAAACATATGAAGAATGGTTGCAGGATTTGGATTTGGCTAGTCTAGAGAAAAGAAGGACTAGGGGAGACATGATAGTAGTATTCCAGTACTTGAGAGGCTGCCACAAAGAGTCAACATATTTTCCAAAGCACCTGAGGGCAGGACAAGAAACAATGGATGGAAACTAATCAAGGAGAGAAGCAACCTGGAATTAAGGAGAAACTTCCTAACAGTGAGGACAATTAACCAGTGGAACAGCTTTGCCCTCAGAAGTTGTGGGTGCTTCATCACTGGAGGTTTTGAAGAAGAGAATGGACACTCACTTGTCTCAAATGGTATTGGGTTTCCTTGGGCTAAAGATCCTTTCCAGCTCTATTCTGATTGAAGATTTAATGAAACTTAGACTCAAACAAAAGTGAAACAGTCATATGCCTAAATGCTATATGACCAGAAGGTGGTGCCACATAATTTTTCTTTTCATTTTTAACAACACAGAGACAGCACAGGTATGTATGTATGTATGTATTTATTTATTTATTCAATACTCAAATATAGCTGCCCATCTCAATCCAATTGACTCTGGATAGCAAACAATATCATAACAATTAAAACCATTACAAATTATACATATAGGCAACTGAGGATCATCATTAATAAAAATTAACAGTGCAACCAGGTAACGTGTCCAACACTCCCAGGATGCAGGCTTTAGAACAGAGGTCCTCAAACTTTTTAAACGGGGCCAATTCAGTCCCTCAGACTGGGGGGATAGGGGTGGGGTGGACTATAGTTTGAAAAAAACACAAACAAATTCCTATGCACACTGCACATATCTTATTTGTTGTGCAAAAAAAATGTAATAGTAATATATTTAAAATGAAGAACTATTTTAACCAACATAAACTTATTAGTATTTGAATGGGAAGTTTGGGCCTCCTTTTGGCTGATGAGATAGTCAATGTCCAGTTCCATATTTGTCACTGCCAGTTTTAACAAGTGATGCAAGTGTTCATCAGTTAGTCTGGATCTGGTTGGAGATTTCAGATGTTTAATTCAGGAAAAAGTCTGTTCATAGACATGGGTGCTGCCAAAGATGGTTACCATTTTGAGCACATGGTTCCTGAGATTAAGATACGTCTCAGAGGGGAGAGATGCATAGAAATTAGTAAGGTTACTTGACTTGATTGCGTCTTTCATAGTCACAATTCTGTAGTTCAGCCAGTTCCATTTGGTAAATTGGATCAACAATTTCAATGTGAGTAGAAAATGGGTTCTGGAAAAGCTGTTCATGTACATGAAGCTCTTTAAAAATCATTTGAAATTCCCTTTGCAACATTTCCCGTGAAACCACACATTTTTTGTTTGGGAATGCAACTGTTGGTTTTTTAGCCAACAGCTTTTGAGTAGTAGGGAGATGTCTGAAGTTTTCCTCCTTCACTTGTTTAATTAGGAGGTCCAATTTTACTTCAAATGCATTCGCTTCCCCTTTCCTTGAAGTTGCACATTGAAATTGTTGAGTAGCTCTGTTACATCTGTCAGAAAGGCAAGGTGCCATTTCCATTCTTCCTCTTTGAGCTCTGGTACTTCTTTGTTCTTTGAAAGCAGAAAAGCAGAAACCTATGGAAGTAAGTCATAAAAACATTTCAAAACTCTCCCTCGACTCAGCCAACGGACTTCTGTGTTGTACAAAATACCTTCACACTGGCTAGTTTAGCCCAGTCCAGCTCCAAATCATTCAGTTCGGCAAAACTTTTCATAGATATCCTCTCCTGTTGTTGTTCATTTGATGCTTTTCAGTGCAGCAAGTGCCTCTGTAACTTCAAAACAATCATTTGTCCCATGAATGAAAATCAGAAGTTGTGCAGAATCACGAATATCATTGCTTTCATTGAGTGCCAATGAAAAATAGCAAAGGTTTTTTTGTGGAGTTTTCCAATACTGATGCAAATTGTCCCCCACTTCTTCAATCCTTTGTGTAATTGTAGGTCCTGAAAGACTCACTGTACTAAATAAATCAGCCTTCTCTGGACACATCTTTTCGGCAACAATAAGAAGGCATTCTTTAACAAATTCTCCATCTACAAATGGTCTGCCAGTGTGCGCTATTAGCTTGGCAACTTGAAAACTTGCTCGCAGTGATGAAATATTTAGCTGCCTCTGCTTCACAAAAGCATTTTGCTGAGTTGTCAATCCATTTTTCAGTTTTAATATTTTGCCTTTTCTCAATCATATTTGTCTTTGTCGAGTTTCGTAGTGTTGACGCAAATTGTATTCCTTGAACACAGCCACCAAATCCTGGCATATCAGACATACAGCTCTTTCCTTGTACTGCATGAAAGTAATCGTAAGTCCACTGTTCTTAGAATATCCTGCACTTGGTCAATTTTTCTTTTTCTTGACATAATTGTTTCCTAGGGATTCAAAATCGCTATTAGAAGGATACCAATAAATACAGCGCTACAAAAAACAGGGATCACTATAGCATGGAAGTAGTGAGAGGCTGAGAGAAGCTGTCAGTGAACACACAGAGCTACTCACCCAGGGGTTATCTTTGGTTGGGATTGGAGGATTGCTCCCGAATACAGGTACTGGTAATCCTTGGGTGTACGAATCTGTGCATTCAGCGTCAGCTTCTCTCAGCCTGTCAATACTTTGTACATAAGTATGTGAGTGGTTGCTGTTGATCGCTTACACTTGTCATTACAGCTGCAAGAACCAGCTAATTCTTGCCAGATTCCAGATCAGATTTATTATTACTGTCATTAGGTTGCTA